TGTAATTGACTGGTGTCCAAACACTGATTTTATTTCTTGTCAATAGACCTTTTTGCGCTTAGATGTAATGACCAAGCCTGATAGCTGAGCGTCGGTTAAGTTGGAGGAAAAAAAAACTTTTCTCGTCTTTCGAAACAACACACCACACTTGACTACTCTGTATTGATTTACATACCTACATACAAAAACAGATTTTTGCATTAAGGGAGCCATACCAAACAAATCCTGTCTGTATTTTGATTCAACGACCAATCTATATCAAGTTTTTTCGTGCTCCCTCATTGGATTAAACTAGCGATGCTGTGCTTTATCAGAATTATCCCCTCAGGGCATAAAACCGAACCGAGGCGAAGAGATATAAAAAGGGAGGAGTTTTATCGGTGAGCTTTAGCCAATGGAGCGGTGCGAAGGAACACACACACTGCAATCCCAATAATGTGATATCAGAGAGCTTTCTCATAAAACTAGCGCACGCGTTGAGGCTTATAAACCAAACCACGTAAATAAATTGTTTATGACATGAGGTTCATGGTCAATAACTAGGAAATAGGTATATCTAAATATTACCTATATACTATACTCTGTTTCCTTATAATGCGAGAGAGTAATAAAATGTCAAATTGCAATGAGACAGGATGGACAGGACCCATCAAACAGGATGTTTTGTACATTTCAGGTAAGTAGGTATAGTATATTTCATTACCAGTCCAGAAAAAAGTATTTTTCCGTGCGCGCGTAACAAAAATTCGGGAAGTCATGCAAGAACGGAAAAATCCATTTCTGGACGTGTAATGAACGATATTTTTTATTATACTTATCTGAAAACGATATAAACAGAAAATTTCCATTTTTTAAAATGGCATGAATTTTACAGAAAATAAAATGTCAAAAATCGATTATAATTTTTCGCTATTTTGGGTAAATCAGACTTTTCTCTATAATGGATTTTTTGTCAAATATGGACAATCTCTGTCATTGCCGTAAGTAAAGCTCGTCAGTTCGTTTTACAATAGGAAAAATGGGGTGCCCCACTTCCAATGTTCACGACTGTAGGTAAATGATTGTTGTCACAGAAACTTGAATCGTTTTTTATCTTTCGGGGTGCATTTATATTAAGATATCTTTGTTTAATTTCTAATGAATGACAAGGATCCAATATTGTCTGACGTATAATCTGTTTAGCGCACGGAAACTAGAGATCGGGAAAAAATTTCCGTGCGCTGTTCTGGAAATGTCACCTTTACTTTATTGTAAAGACAGGTGAAAAAGAGGTGTTTTCAGGTAAGTATTGTGGTATATTATAGGTGCAGAGCATATTATAAGGTATCTATACCAACAGGCATTTTTTTTTTTGCTGAAAAATCCTGAATTGACTGCTATTTTAGTATCTACTTACCTAAAGCCTTTATCGAACTTGACAAATAATATTCACACCCTGTATAATTTGTTTGAGTTAATTAGGATAGTACAGAACAAGACACCTACAGGGTGAGTCCGAAATAAGTGCGCATTTTCTTATGGTGGATAGATTATACAGTAGGACAATCACTTTTTGCATAGGTACATGTCACATGTGTCCGCAAACGTCTTGTTAAGGAAATACAGAGTGCTGAAGTTTTCGGAAAATTTTGACTTCTTGTCTTTAGATTCAAAATGCCTTGAACGATTTTATTCAAATTTCCAGAGAGTGTTTGCAATGTTATCATAAGCATCTTTCTAAAAACTCCGTTTTAGTTCCACTTTTCCAGGCAGGACCAAGAGGGACTCTTATTTTTTTTGAAATACGGGCATAAAACTTTTGAGATACAAGTATGTTACAAAAGGGTAATATTGATTGTTGAAGTAATAAGAATATCACTTGTAAATATCAGAATATGATAATATCTGCTCATCAGTGAAAAATCTATAAGACATGAGATCAAGTAGAATAAATCAAAATCAAACTCCGAATGAAGATCATAAATGTGATTTCAGAATTAACACACCTACACAACCAAATAATATCATTTTTGGTCACACCACAAAACTAACAAATTCAAAACCAACTTTTGAATCAGCTTAGTCGTTGACTTTATCTTCTAAATCTTATTCTTGTTTGATATATTTCTATTTACTCCTTCAATCGAAGCATAAGAGAAATAAGGTTAGCAGGTTGACTGCCGAACACTCCGATCGAAGTTTACTGGCACCAATCGGCGACGCCAACTACTCGGATCGGCGTGTTGTGCATGCTCAATTTGTGAGTCTATATCCAGTAGGCATTGGCGAGAGAATGTCGCAGTCCAATTTTTTCCTCCGATTTTTTTTGATATCGTTTCACCATCTTTTCTGGGGTCTTCCAACACTTTTCCATACTATGAATCTGTTGGTCCATCTGTCGTCCTGTTGTCGTGCTATGTATAGCACGATTGTGTCATTTTTCACTAATCCCTAGCATGATCTTTTTCATTGCAAGCTGTATAACCTGCAGGGAGTGTATAGTTCTGCGGGTTAAGGACATTGTTTCATTTCTGTTAGTATAGAGGGCTACCTTTTTTGAAGTTTTACTCAAGTTCATCGTTAATTATACTTGTAGGGACGCTCTATGGAGTTCTTCTAGAAGTAATACTAATAAGAATGATATCGTCTATGCGAAATGGGTCAGTCTTGTTCCATCTATATTAATTCCTTTATACCTCCAGTTCCGGTTTTTGAAATCATCCTCTAAGGCTAGCGTATAGCGTGAACAGCTTTGGGGAAATTCTGTCAACCTTGTCGTATTCCTCTCACCTCTGTGTATATCCAAGTCTTTGATGATATCATCGTTGTGATTTGGAAAATCTCTTTTTTCTTTGATAAAATCTTCCTTTTTAGAATCAGGGGAATAAATATGAAGCTAAAGAAGTCTTCCATGAAGCCAGAATTGATAGGCTGTATAAACAAAAATCCTTCAATCAGTAAGTATCGACTCGGTTGACAGAATATCGATAAAAGTATAACCTCATTATTCTGCTCACTACTACGGTGACGTAGGAAACTACCTACACCAATGTGATAGTGAACTAGTGTAACACAAAAAAACAATTTTTTTGTACCAGTAATGCAGTTTCCGCACTGAAGAGGTCAAATGAGATTAGATAATTGAAAAAGTAATAATTGTGCAGTAAATTTGCAAAATGACGCAGCAGAGTAAATGTCGATCTTTCGAACGTCAACTAGTAAGTATGGTAGGTCTTGGTGTAAATAGTTCATATTTGGCTCTATCTTCATCTTCGTCCTCTCGCGTTGGTTCTGCTCCATCTCTCACAGCAAACGTATTTTATCAATGAATGCTCCGTCTATCTGTGGCAATTTCGGATACAACTTTGTGAAAACATGATCGATATATTGCCCCTCCGATGAGTAAACAGAGAATTTGCCTTCATAAACCATGTTTGTTCCAACGAGGAAATTTATCTGATGCTACAAATCCAATGACCAATGATCCAGATCATTACCAAGGATTGGCATTTCTTCAATTTTTACCAACAGAAGTTTAAGAGAAACGTAATTATTTATTGTCTTGCAAAAGATAAGCATGTGGAAAAGCCTTTTGAGAAAAAAAAGCCAGGACAGCAGGGATACTAAATGAGAAAATCTTGAATCATACAAGACCAGTTGAAATATGAAGTAGAGATATTTATTAAGCACAGCATTACAATAGAATATTCATAATTTATCTAACAAGTGCTGTATGAGAAACAACTGTAATGTACAGCACTTTATTCACGACAGCTTGAATACATATAAAAATGTTGATGTAATTTATTTCAGAAACATACAGTAAAGACTCGAACTATTATTGGCACCAACAATTGATTGTAATTTTGAATGCGTGGCGCAACATGGGATTATCCTTAAATAAAATAATTCACAATGGCGTGAGTTTATTCAATTTCTTTCTATACTCTGTTTGTTAGTCCCAGGGTACACATAAATTTGTCAGAATGTATTTATTGTAGCCTAGATAACAAGAAAAATTAACGAAATATTGATAGAACTGTAAGCAGATTCTAATAATTGTTAACATTTTTTACCTGCGCTATGGGCGCTTAAATTACAAAAATACGCCTGATGAGTGCAAAACCCTTTCGGGTGGGATTTCTTGAAGTTTCTAAAAATTCTGTATGTGTGTACGAATGAGGCTATTGGCTATTGAAAGTGTTGGGTCACTCTATAAGGGGTTATAGTGTTGTCGTGATGTTGAAAGTTGAAGACGTAAAAAAATAGACTAAGACCAAAACTAGGAAAAACAATTTGAATTTTTATAATATCAGAAAATCAATTTTTAGATCTATTTCAATAGGCTTTATTAGAACACAAAATATTTGATGGAATATGAATATTTATACAAATATTACCTATGAACGAGCTTATAGTCATAAGGGTATAGGTAAGTACTTTTCAATTAAAAAAAATAATTGTTTACTAGGTATATTGGCATGTTTTCCCCGAAAACATTCTTTTTGTAAATGAGGATTAATGCGCAACTTACAAGCTAATGGCGAACCTTCTTTTTATGGCTCTACGCCGGTAATTGTTGGCAAATTAGTTTACCGGATTACTGATTAGGCTGAAATTGTAAACCAAGGTTATAACCTTGTTATTTGCATTTATCGGAACTTTCTTTATGGGGTTTATCCTTAGATATAATGCTTTTCTAAGATTTTGGGTATATCACCAATAAATAATTATTACTGGTAACTTGGAGGTTTATTGTGACACTGAGGTAGGTACTATTTCAGGTACCTACCTAAGAGTTATTTTAAACTATTTTTGATATTGATTTACTACAATATGACTTCTCTGTATAATGACTTCTAGGTATAAATGATCTGATGTTTAAAAAGAAGTAATTCCATCAGAACAATCAAATTCATACACCAGAATAACAAAGACAATACAATTTTCAAAACTTTATGCTGCTGCATATATTTTATAACAATTTATAAAGTAACAAAATAGCAACTGAAATTACTTACCACTGGACTTTCGTCACCCATGTCCGGTTCCCTTTCTTGCGGATCCATTTCCATGGAATAAACCGGAACCGGATCTCTGTTCTTGACACGAATCTTGGCCTACTATCGCAGAATGCGCGCTATACGCACCCCGCACTGTGCACGAAAACGTAAAATCCCAAATGCAGACTGTCAAGTAGCGGCACCGGTACCACAACAAAAACAAAAACAAACCAGTCACTTTTCGGTCCTACTATATGTGATAACGGAGTTTTGTAACAACACAAAACACAAAAGTTTGAGGTTAAAAGCGCGCCGCGTCAACTGAGTGCTAATAGTAAATGTAACTTTTACACTTTCAAACAGGGAGCTTGTTCGGAACGGAGCTTTGCCGGCCCCGGTGTTGAATGAGCATGCCGATTACGATCAGTAGCGTGCTTTTTTCCCCCCCTTGATGAAAGCTCCGCATCGTCCAATGGGGTTATCAGGAGGAGCCAGGATAAGTGGCGGGGTGGAACTTAAACCGCGCCGCATATAATAATACGTTTTTTATTGCATACATTATCCAATCGTTTTCCGTTGCACACAACAATGTCGATTGACCGAGGTGGATGGATTTTGATTTTATGACTGATATATTGCCATCTCTTTTTATTTTATGGACATAAATATTTTATGATCTCGCTGGGGCTGGGGCCAGGGCCGCGCCCGCTTTTAATTATAATAAACCTTGATTTTACCAAAACAATGGTTACTGTTTGTAGATCGTTTTAATTTTATGGTCAAATTTAAAAAGTGACATTAGTCCTACTTAATTACCGTTACGCCCTAAGCGCCATCTGTACCTAACATTTAATTCAACTGATAATGTCAAAGTTTGTCTGGTTTATGTTTTGTGTTTTGTGCTTATTAATTGCAATTAATAAGTACCTCAACTATAATATCAGTTCTGCGTTCTGCCATTTATTACAGAGAAATGGAACGCACTGTAAATGGAACTGAATAGTGTTTCCCTCTATTAGAGAGATGCATAAACTTGAGTGTGTTTGGTAAAATCACTGGAACTGTAACAAACATTGCAAAAAAAGCAATACAGTAAGATAGATAAGATCTTGGATTCATCACACACAAATTTGATAGATGATGTCTGTATGTTTCAGACTTTTTGGGAGTTAGGTACGTATCAATTAAAATTTTCACCAGAAGTTTCTTGATCTTAAGAATCACTACACGCTTTTCCATAAGAGTCTGTTTTACCTACCAAATTATTTTTCTAAAATAAAATAGGTACAAGTAATATTCTCATAGACGCCGCACTTGTAAACATAAATTAGAACACGATAAAAACCTAGTAAAACGCACTAAATGTTAGAATTAGGTACTAACATTTTATGTAAAAACAATATATAGATATGTAAGTACAATGTCGAATACCTATAACCAACAAATTTTTTGAATGGCCGGAGTTCACCTTTATCACCTTTTTAAATTAATATTTTTTTTGTCATACGCTCCTAAAAACAGCTATTTTACGGACTCATTCAAGTCCGTAAAATGCTTCTTTTCAGGATTTTTGTTTTCTTTCTGGATGCACCTTTATGATTTCAAATCTTAATCTTGTAAATTTCAGCTTTAGCGTTCTGAAATTCTGATAAGCGTATGACAAAAAAATGTGTTTGTCACACGTACCTAAAGAAGTTTTTCAGGACTCATCTGCCGGGCTCGGCTAACGCCTCGTCCGGAAACAGCAATGATTCGTCCTGAAAAAACTTAATTTTAGGTACTTATGACAAAAATAACTATTATGGAAGATTTCGAAATTTAGAATATTGAGAATTTCATACATCTGCCAAAACTGGTATTTCAACAATGAACTGACATGTTTTGATTGTTGATTTGAACCAATCAGATTGCAATTACGCGATAATTTGCACTACACTTTTTCCAATTGTAATTCACCATATTAGTTAGGTTAGAATCGCAAATTGGCGCGGGTTCCTAGTTCAAAAATTAATACATTGATGTCTTATGGGGACTCAATTTAAAAAGCGTCTGTAGACGTGATAGAACGTTTGTTAGGGAAGTGAGTTGTATAAATAGTTTTTTTAATATGTTAATTAACTGAGAGAGTGTTTGAAAGTTGAATAAACATTGTTAAAATAAAAATATTACCAATTTAAGAAGCCGGCGATGTTTGTATAAAATACGTATGTCGTTGCTTGATCCATAAGTACATGGGTACCTATAATTATAATAAAATAAAAGTGTACCTACATACTTGGTTAGTAAATGTACTTCAAAAATCCAAAAAAATTGAAAAACAAATGACTGAACTATGCAAATAAATAAATAAATAAACAATTCACCAACAATCATAACACAACACACAACCTCACTTTCTTACAGCTGGTTCTAGACCCGACGTACGTCCACCGAAAACAGACACTCTTAATTAAAATCATTTGTATTTTTAATTCATAGGTCTAAAAAAACAATTAGAGCATGAATTATAGAGAAATATGTTCAAAGTTTGACGTATAATAAGTTCAAATACTAAGAAATGCCCAGAACCCAAGATATTCCCGTCTGAAAATCACTCTTTTGAATCCCCCATAAGAAATACATTGCTGTCAAATTTGTTGAAATGTGTTTAGGAACCCATTTTAAATTTCGCGCCCGATTTTTCCTAACCTAACTAATATGGTGAATTCAGAAACCGTCACTCGTAATTGCGAAAAGTCAAATGTAATTGAGAAACCGTTACATGTAATTGAGAAGAGTTAAATGTTATTCAGAATTCGTTAACTGTAATTGAGAATAGTCAAATGTTATTGAGAAACCGTCAAATGATATTGAGAATAGTTAAATGTAATTGAGAATTCGTTAATTGTAATTGAGAATAGTCAAATGTAATTGAGAAACAGTCAAATGTTATTGAGAAAACGTTAAATGTAATTCAGAAAGCATCAAATGAGATTCAGAATAGGTCAAATGAAATTGAGATAATGAAAATGCGAAAATTTCATATACATAGGTACAAGGTGACACAAATTCGTGAGAATTTGTGGGGATATCAAAAACCCTTAAACATTTTGGTTGAATAATAATTAATAATATCAGAACATTTAGTATAATTGAAATGAAAGTTACATAAAATTTTAATTAAAAAACAAACAGTTCTCAAAACTATCGTCCAACAAGCATTGGTTCCATAGCTAAAGCCGCCTCATAGAACGTCGTCAAATGTTGCGCAGCGCGGGCACAGTCACCATTAACTATAGTGGTTTCAGCATGGTCTACTATCTCTTCTACATAAGCCAATCGCTGTTTAACTACTCCAGAGGCCCATTCACTTCTGGTTCTCGTATATTACGTTTAACATAAGTATTTATTTTAGACCAAATATTCTCGATGGGATTCAGCATTAGCGAATAAGGAAGTAGCCTTAAAATTGTGGCGCCTGATCCAGACATTTCATTCACTGAATGATTTGTCTAAAGCGTAGTTCCTATAGATGCGAATCACGAATTGCGAATGCTTACGCACTATACAGTTTCGAATCTTGCATGATTTCAATTTCATTGGATCTATTCTGAATCTCATTTGATGCTTTCTGAAATACAATTGACGCATTCGCAATTACATTTAGCTATTCTCAATTACATCTGACGGTTTCTCAATTACATTTGACTATTCTCAATTACAATTAACGCATTCTTAATAACATTTGACTTTTCTCAATTACATTTGACATTTTCTCAATTACATTTAACTTTTCTCAATTACAATTAACGCATTCTGAATAACATTTTACTATTCTCAATTACATTTAACGGTTTCTGAAATACATGTAACTATTTCTGAATTACAATTATTGGAAAAGTTGTAGTGCAAATTATCAGATAATTACATAGTAACTGGTGCGAAAACTGGTGTTTTGACATTTTTTGACAAAAAATTTAAATTTTTATTTATGAAATTCTCTCATTAAATACAACTCGTGCAATGGAAATATATTTATAATTTTCGACAAATTTGCACTCATGCTTTTTTAACTGAAAATGCATTCGGGCAAATTTCCCAAAAATTATCAATAATTTCCATTGCACTAGTTATATTACTATTGCAAATTATAATTTGAAACCCATATACACATAGACCACATTTTCAACAACACTTACGACCTTACTCACTTTCATCCAGCACATAAACACGCATAAGAAACTAATATACAGGGTGTTTCACGAACATCGAAACCGAAGAGTTTTAGGATATTTTAAGGTCGATTTAAAAAAAAAAAAAACACCCCGACACGTCAGTTTTGTATTCATAAGGTGGAAACTTTTTGACTCCATCGGTATGTCAATAGGATGCCTGGGTGGGGTGACTTTCACCCCTATTTTTTAGATAAGAAAGATGGGCCGAATGGTACCTTGTTTTAAAAGTATTTTGATTCTCGTCACAACTGTAAACTTTTTTTAAAAATCGAATGATTAGTTCTCAAGATATTCACTGTCAAAGTTGCCATGGGCTAAATAGAAAACAATTTTCTGGCCCTGTTATTCTCAAATTAACACTTTTCTTTCCTCTCGGACATGTCAATTTTCTTTTTTTGTGTGCCGAAAAAATTAAAATTGACGTGTCCGAAAGGAAAGTCAGGAAAATGTTAATTTGAGAATTACAGGGCCAGAAGATTGTTTCTTATTAAGCCTATGGCAACTTTGACAGTAAATATTTTGGGAACTAATCATTCGATTTTTAAAAAAAAAGAACACAGTTCACAGTTGTGACGAGAATCAAAATACCTTTAAAACAAGGTATCACTCGACCCATCTTCCCTATCTAAAAAGGGGGAGTGAAAGTCACCCCACCCAGGGGGTTCACCCTAGCAAAATACCTATGGGGTTCAAAAGTTTCCTCCTTGAATACAAAATTGACGTGTCTCATCGTTTTTTTTAAAATCGACGTTGAAATACCCCAAAACGCCTCGGTTTCGATGCTCGTGAAACACGCTCTAGAATTGACAATATAGAAGATGAACTAAACTACTACCAACCACTTTCTTAGGCCCGGTTTATTCATATTTAGATAAACTTACAGGTAACAATTTGCCAGATAAATTCACCGTTCTATAATTCTATTCGTTGGCGGATAACTGGCTGACCAAGGGGATTACAAATTGCGTTTTTATCTGTCAGATTGCATACCTTCCTGACAGTTTATCAAAGGGTGAATAAATCGGCCCTTAAAAAAAGATTTGAAACTGCAAAATACAAAAAAAAAACAACACACAAAAGCAGACATCGTTAAACTTCAATTCAAATCAAATACCATATTAAAAACTGGTGTAGTTATAAAAAGCCTACGACATATCCAAAAAAGAAAAATAAAAAATAC